ATGCCACTAAATGCTTGCAAAACCACATCAGGATGCATGGAGACATCAACATCCAGATTGGGATCATGGAAGAGGTCCTGAAGGTCCTCAAAGAGCCCTGCAAGCTGTTCACTGATGCCAAGGTGTGCATCCTGATCATCATCACCATAGTAGCCAAGAACCTTGCCATCTAGCATGACATGAGCCAGCATGGTGATGAGCATTGCCCAGCAGTCAGCACGCTTGATGACTGTGGGTTGATCAAGGGAGTATGGATGGCTAGGGGTGTCGTCAAAGGCATGGAAGGTTTGCTGCACCTGGCGGCCAGATTGAAGAAGTGCCTCCATCCACTGCTGTGTACACTGTTGTGTCATGCCAAGCAGCCAGTGAAGGAAGTCCTGGTGGGCACCTGGCCACTTGTGAGGGTTGCAGCCAAGGGAACCAATGGCCGCCACTGGCTTGCCAGCCCAGTACTCCTGCCAGCCTAGCTGCTTGAGCCATGGGCTGAGATTGCCAGTCACAGTTCGTGGTTGAATGCCCTCCATGTCCAGATCTGCCTTTGCCATTAGCTCTGCATCCTTGGCAAAGAATGCTTCCAGCTGCTCCTTGAAAGCTGCGTCCTCCTCTGTGTTGATGTTGGTGTTGATGTTGAAGGCAACAGGAGGGGGTGTAGGCTCGAGCTTGCTGTTGAAGACCCACACATAGCGGGTGAAGGGACCACTGGTGAAGATGGGCTGAATGAGAACAGGGTGGATGACAGAAGCCTTGCCATCATGGCTGCTGCGCTGGTGCTTGTATGCAGAGGAGCTCGACTTGACAGCATACTCGCAGATACTGCAACAGTAGCCATCAAATGTATCAAGCTCCTTGATGAGGTTGATGGGGAGTAGATTGGTGTTGATGCTGACAGTAGCAGGGCTGACAAGGTCAAGAGTAAGGAGTGTCTCCTCCAACAGCTTGATGCCAGTCTTGGTGAGTGGATGATGGTGGGACTTGAGGTGCTGAGACACATTGGCATAGGTTGGGATGAGCGGCAGGTGGTGAGTGCACTCAGGGCGAGTGCAGAGGAGAAGAGAAGGGTGCTGGAGGAGGCGGAGGCGGAAGCTGCAAAGCTGGTTGGCAACCTTCAGATCAACTGGAGCAGCAAGAGCAGTCTGGTTGGCAGCAGGGAGCGGCAAAGTGCTGTTGATGACAAGGAGAGCATAGATAGCACAAGTGACGTCAGTTGATGCTGATCAAGAAGATACACTGGAGAGAGAAGCAGTGTACATACAAGTCATCATCACTGTCAATGGCATCAGAAGGAGCGAGGTCATCAGCTACTGGAGATGGGAAAGCATCATCAGGGTTTGAAAGAGCATTGGCACTGTGCATCGCAAGGTTCTTGATGATGGCAAGAGGAACTTGGCTTTCAGTGAAGGGGTTGATGCTGCTACTGTGACAGTGACAGCAAAGCTCGGTAAGAGACAGAGACTGGTCAGTTGGAGATCAATAGGAACAGGCAAAGGAAGAGGATAATAGCACGTACCTGACTGCAGCAGCAGTGTTGATGCTGGCACCGATGGAGATGGAAGATGATTGAGACATTGTAGATTGTGGTTGGTGTTAGCGGCAAGAAGAGCTAGATGTTGCTGGTGTGGTATGGTGCTGAGAGATGTGAGCGTTGAGGAGACTTGCCATAGCTGTGAAAGAGGGCTGGTATATATGCTAATGCTGAGGAGCTCAGGTGTTGGCAATGACAAAGTCAAAGGATGCATGTGCAGACACACACACAATGATGATGGGGAACAACAACATTGGATTGCTGAGTGTGGGAATAGAGTACAGGCGGTGATGTGAAAGGTGATGTGCAACAAAGCAATGATGAGAACAAAGGGTTGAAGATCGACTAAGGATTGATGATGAGCAAAGGCCTGGAGGAAACAAGTGGCAATGGTGATGTGTGGTGATGGTGAGAAAAGCAGCAGTGGCAAGAACAAAGGGGTGAGAGCGTAAAGGACAAAGGTGTGAGAGTGTAAGAACAAAGGTTAATGATGTTGACAAAGGTGTGAGAGCATAAAGGACAAAGGCTGATGATGTTGACAAAGGTGTTGCAAGGCTGATTGGTAGTGAGGTGTGAGCGTGAGAGAGAAATGATGTTGACAAAGGTGCTGTAAGGCTGAGCGGTAGTGAGGTGTGAGTGTGAGAGAGAAATGATGTCGACAAAGGTGTTGTAAGGCAGAGTGGTAGTGAGGTGTGAGCATGAGAGAGAACAACAGCTGATGAAGACAAGTGGTGATTATGTTGTGCGGTGATGATGAGAAGTAGTGGCAGCAAGAACAAAGGGCTAAGAGTGCAAAGGAGGCTCATGATGTCGACAAAGGAGTTGTAAGGCTGAGTAGTTGTGGGGTGTAAGTGCAAGAGTTGTGCTGGAGCTCTGCATTGCTCTCAAGCTGTGCGCTGCTCAGATTGCGTTGCTCCAGCAGAGTGTGCGTTGCTCCAGCTGTGAGTGCATTGCTCCAGCTGTGAGTGCATTGCTCCAGCTGTGAGTGCGTTGCTCCAGCTGTGAGTGCGTTGCTCTCAAACAGTGTGTTGTTCTCGAGCAGTGCGTTGCTCTTGAGCTGTGTGTTGCTCTCGAACAGTGCGTTGCTCTCGAGCTGTGCGCTGCTCAGATTGCATTGCTCCAGCAGAGTGTGCGTTGCTCCAGCTGTGAGTGTGTTGCTCCAGCTGTGAGTGCGTTGCTCCAGCTGTGAGTGCGTTGCTCCAGCTGTGAGTGCGTTGCTCCAGCTGTGCGTTGCTCAATTTGCGCTGCTCCAGCGAAAATAAATTTGTTTGCGTTGCAGCACTTGAGCAGTGTAAATTTCGAGTGCGTTGGGGGTCAACGCAGTCGCGTGAATTTCGAATTTGGCGGAGCGCAATTGTGCGTTGCCCGCAAGCAAGACACACCGGCTAGGGCTAGGGTCTTGCTGGGAACACCCTTGTAACCCTAACCCTAACCCTAAGTTGCTCTCGAGCTGTGCGCTGCTCAGATTGTGTTGCTCCAGCAGAGTGTGTGTTGCTCCAGCTGTGAGTGCGTTGCTCCAGCTGTGAGTGCGTTGCTCCAGCTGTGCGTTGCTCAATTTGCGCTGCTCCAGCGAAAATAAATTTGTTTGCGTTGCAGCACTTGAGCAGTGTAAATTTCGAGTGCGTTGGGGGTCAACGCAGTCGCGTGAATTTCGAATTTGGCGGAGCGCAATTGTGCGTTGCCCGCAAGCAAGACACACCGGCTAGGGCTAGGGTCTTGCTGGGAACACCCTTGTAACCCTAACCCTAACCCTAAGTTGCTCTCGAGCTGTGCGCTGCTCAGATTGTGTTGCTCCAGCAGAGTGTGTGTTGCTCCAGCTGTGAGTGCGTTGCTCCAGCTGTGAGTGCGTTGCTCCAGCTGTGCGTTGCTCAATTTGCGCTGCTCCAGCGAAAATAAATTTGTTTGCGTTGCAGCACTTGAGCAGTGTAAATTTCGAGTGCGTTGGGGGTCAACGCAGTCGCGTGAATTTCGAATTTGGCGGAGCGCAATTGTGCGTTGCCCGCAAGCAAGACACACCGGCTAGGGCTAGGGTCTTGCTGGGAACACCCTTGTAACCCTAACCCTAACCCTAAGTTGCTCTCGAGCTGTGCGCTGCTCAGATTGTGTTGCTCCAGCAGAGTGTGTGTTGCTCCAGCTGTGAGTGCGTTGCTCCAGCTGTGAGTGTGTTGCTCCAGCTGTGAGTGTGTTGCTCCAGCTGTGCGTTGCTCAATTTGCGCTGCTCCAGCGAAAATAAATTTGTTTGTGTTGCAGCACTTGAGCAGTGTAAATTTCGAGTGCATTGGGGGTCAACGCAGTCACGTGAATTTCGAATTTGGCGGAGCGCAATTGTGCGTTGCCCGCAAGCAAGACACACCGGCTAGGGCTAGTGTTCTGCTCGTGATTGTGCTCCTCTCTCTTGCTCTGTGCTCAATTGCGCTCCTGTCAATAGAGTTCCTGCCGATAGAGCTCCTGTTGATTGCACTTCTCTCTGCATCTCTTCTCTCGATTGCACTCCTGTCGATTGCTCTCTTGTCGATTGAGCTCCTCTTGATGAGCTCCTGTTGATTGCTCTGCTCTCGATTGCGCTCCTGTCGATTGCTCTGCTCTCGATTGCCCTCCTCTTGATTGATCTGCTGTCCATTGCGCTCCTGTCGAGTGAGCTCCTCTCGATTACACTCCTCTCAATTGCGCTCCTCTCTCTCTTGCGCTCCTGTCAATTGCACTCCTCGTGATTGCGCTCCTTTCGATTGTGCTCCTGTCGATTGCACTCCTCTCTGCTGCTCATCTCTCGATTGCGCTCCTCCAGCATAGTGTTCTGCTCTCGATCGAGCTCCTGTCGATTTCACTCCTCTCTTGCGCTCCTGTTGATTGCTCTCCTCTCTTGCACTCCTGTTGATTGCTCTCCTCTCTCTTGCACTCCTGTCAATTGCGCTCCTCCAGCATAGTGTTCGGTGCTTCGAATTGTGCTCCTATCGATTGCACTCCTGTCAATTGAACTCGTCTTGATTGCACTCCTCTCGGTTGCTCTCCTCTCGATTGCACTCCTCTCAATTGCGCTCCTCTCTCTCGCTCTGCTCTCTCTTGCGCTACTGTCGATTGCGCTCCTCTCTCCTGCTCTGCTCTCGAGTGAGCTCCTGTCGATTGCTCTCCTGTCTATTGAGCTCCTGTCCATTGAGCTCCTGTCCATTGAGCTCCTTTCGATTGTGCTCCTGTCAAATGCACTCCTGTCGATTGCGCTCCTCTCTGCTGCTCGTCTCTAGATTGCTCTCCTGTCGATTACGCTCCTCTCTCTCGCTCTGCTCTCTCTTGCGCTACTTTCGATTGTGCTCCTCTCTCCTGCTCTGCTCGTGATTGCGCTCCTCTCGATTGCGCTGCTGCAGCACAGTGCTCGCTCCTGTCGCTTGCACTCCTCTTGATTGTGCTCCTGTCCATTGAGCTGCTGTTGATTGCACTTTTGTCGATTGCGCTCCTGTCGATTGCGTTCGTCTTGATTGCGCTCATGTCGATTGTGCTGCTCCAGCAGAGTGAGTGCTCCTCTCGATTGCGCTCCTCTCAATTGCGCTCCTCTCAATTGTGCTGCTCCGACAGAGTGTGCGCTGTCCAGCAGTTCGCTGATGAGATTGCGCTTCTCAGATTGCGTTGCTCCAGCTGTGCGTTGCTCAATTTGCGCTGCTCCAGCAAAAATAAATTTGTTTGCGTTGCGGCACTTGAGCAGTGTAAATTTCGAGTGCGTTGGGGGTCAACGCAGTCGCGTGAATTTCGAATTTGGCGGAGCGCAATTGTGCGTTGCCCGCAAGCAAGACACACCGGCTAGGGCTAGGCTGCCCACCTGGCCCTCCTTCCAGTCCACGCCCTAGCCCTGGCCTCCACTGCCCTTGGCCTCCGCCTGTCAGTCAAAAAGACTTTCGCCAACCTCACACACCTCGAGGTCCTCGGCATCGACATTGACTCTGCAGCTCAAACCATTGGCATTACTTCAGAACGTCGGGCACACATCCTCTCTCAGTGCCACCACCTCCTTAGCTGCAGCACTGCAGACCTTCTCGACATGCAGCATATCGCCAGCCTCCTGCAGTTTGTGTCACAGGTTTTCCTGTGCAGCAAGGCTTTCCTGCGCTGCCTTTACAGCTGTACTCGCCGCCGGCACTCTGCTGGTCACTGGCGCATACCCAGACCGGCCCTCGCCGAGCTCACCTGGTGGGTCACCATGCTGGAATCCTGGTCTGGCATGAGTGTCCTCTCCCCTTCTCCCTTGGTGGTTGCCCATGTGTGGACTGATGCCTGCCCTCGCAGCTACAGCACCCACTTGGGACTGGCCGCCGACACCACGGCCGTCTTCTCGCATGAGGTCCTGCGCCGACACCGCAAGAAGAACATCTGGTTCTTGGAGGCCTTGGCCATCCTGGAAGCGCTCCGTCTCTTTGCTCCCCTCTGGTCATCTCCTTTGACGGTGGTTGTCCACGTCGACAATGAGAACGTCGAGCATGGTCTCCATTCCGGCAGCTCACACGACCCACTCACACAGAAGCTGCTTTGGGAGATCTTTGGGTTCTGCTTCACCCACAACTTCACTCTACACCCCATGCATGTCTCGACCACTGACAATGTTCTTGCTGACCTTCTTTCCCATCGCCAGTTCCATCACATCCAGCAGTCCTTTCCACAGGCGTACAGCCAGTTGTCCTTCTGCCAGGGACACGTCGACCAGCCGGCCAACCCCCTCCCACCTTCGCATCCAGCATGGGGATCACTTCGGCAGTGGCTACCTTGCTCTGGAACGGCCTTGCGCCCAGCACTCGAGACTGTGCTGGTGGTACTGTCACCGCTTTCCAAACCTTCTGCACCTGGCACTTGGGTGCCAACATCGCTTGTCTGCCTGCCACTGGTGTCCAGCTCCTCAAGTGGCTTGGCAGCATGTCCTCCACCGGCCGTTCATACCACTCCACCAAGCACAAGCTCAGCCACCTCCGCTCCCACCACGTCAACCTTGGCCTCAGCCTGGCCGGCTTTGAGTGCAGCCATCTCGAGCAGGCTCTGCGTGGCTACAAGTGCATCCATGGCGCTCGGCACACCGGCGCCAAGCTCCCCATCACGTTGCCCCTCCTTCGCCGCCTTGTCACTGCTGTCGATACCTTCGGCGACCTCTCTGTGCGCGATCGCACCATGTTCAAGGCGGTGTTCACCCTCTCCTTTGCCTGTTTCCTGCACTCGGGTGAGGTCGTCTGGGACTGGCACACCGACCCAGCCATCGTCCTTCACATTGGCAGCGTCGAATTGGCCGCCGACCATGCCATCGTCACCTTGCCGGCATCCAAGATGGACCCCTTCCACCTTGGCGTCAAGGTCGTCACCCCTCTTGTCGGCAGCCCAGAATGCCCAATCGCCCACCTTTGCCACCTGCTCTCTGGTTGTCCCTCTTCTGCCCCCCTCTTTGGCCTCGGCCCATCTGGGGCAGACCCCCTCCCACACTCGTCGTTCGTTGCCATCCTTCAGCACACCATTGCCTTCACCGGCCTGGCACAGTCGGCCTATGCTGGCCATTCCTTTCGACGCAGTGCCACCACGTGGGCGGCCCGCCTTGGCGCCAGCCCCGAGACCATCCAGTGCCTCGGCCGTTGGAATTCTGACTGTTTCCGGTGCTACGTTGACCGCTCCACCAGCGAACGCCATGACCTCTCCGTCACTGCCCTCTTCAGTGTTCGTGACAGCCCCCTCGTCCCCGACAGCGCCTCGTGGCAAGACGTGGGGGCCACCTAGCCCATCATTGGGCCCGGCCTTGTCGAGAGTGCTGTCTGCTGCGCAGGTGCCTCGACTCTCGGTTGGCAGGCCGGGAGCCTCAGAGCCAGCACGCTTCGCCGCTGACCCGCAATCAAACCCTTTCTCACATCTGTCAGCCGTGTGAGCATGAGCTGGGATGGACTGTCTTCAAAATTAAATTGGACCGTCTTCGAGGAGCGCAAGACGCGTCTGCCCCACGGCTGGACACCCTTAGAACCCTAAGACAAGTGTGTGGTAGACCATGTTCCTGTGTTGCTGCAACATCAAATTAGAATTGGACTGTCTTCCAGACTGTAGTTGACTGTCTTCCATTTCAATTGGACTGTCTTTGATCTGTAGCTGACCATCTTCCCAGCTCAGCACACACAGAAAATCAACTTTGTATTGGACCTTTGAAATGGACTGTCTTGAATTTTGAAGTGGACTGTCTTCCAGGAGGGCAAGATGCATCTGCCCCAAGGCCTGAATTTTGAAGTGGACCATCTTGAATTTTGAAGTGGACCATCTTGAATTTTGAAATGGACTGTCTTGAATTTTGAAGTGGACTGTCTTCCAGGAGGGCAAGACACGTCTGCCCCACGGCCGGACACCCTTAGAACCCTAAGGAAACGAATGTGCTGCACAACCTCTGAATGGAGTGGTCAAGGCGGTCAGCCAAAACCTACCAGAACGAAGCTGTCTGGTTGCTTTCAATTGAAACATACCAAGTAGTTCATACTCAATCGATCTCACCAAAATCAATCAGAAACACCCAATCTGGTTTCAGGCGCATGACCGCTTACAATTTACACCAAATTCATTTTTGCTAGTGTGGGTGATGAAGTTGATCTTGACATTGCCCCTTTCAGCCCATAGGCCCAAGTGGATGTTTCCCCTGGATTTCATCTGGTCATGCTTTTGCAGGGCTTTTGTGAAGAGTTCCAGGTCCTTGCCAGCTGACTTGTTGGCTGCAGTCTGCTTCTTGTAGCTTGTGGGCTTGAACCTCTGCAATGGCTGGTTGGTCTCAGAGTCAATGACAGTGAGGTTTGTCATGATCTCCTTGTTGAAAGCAGGGATGTGGATAGGACTGCCAACAATTCTGAACTTGTTGCTGGGGGGTTGATCATGTCTGGTGCAGCCCATGTTGTGGGCCATGATGGTCTGGGCATGGTCTTTGGCAGCAGTCACCAAGGCTCTCCTCTCCTTCTCTGCCTTGGACTTGGCCTTGTTCTTGTTGGAAGGCATGTTGCTGAATGTGTTGTAAAGTTGAGTTGAGTGTGTGTCAAAAGCTGGAAGAGGGATGGTGGAAAAAGGGAAGGAAGATGCAAAGTGGAAAAAGCAAACTATCTCCAACTTGCATGTGGAGGTTGGAATTTTCATCTGGAGGCCAGTGCACATGTGGAGGTTTCCATTTTCAAGTTGAGCTCCAGCAGAAATGGCTCACTTGCTTGTCTCAGCCTCAATATACTTTCCAGAGATGACTGAGCAACCGAGCATGTCTTACATTAAAAAGATAGATGATAGAATGATGGAGAGGAGGCTCCAGAGTGCTTCACAGCTTGTCCTGCTCACCTACAGTGCCTTGGAGAATACTTCACCTTGACATGCCTTTAAATGGCACATTCTGGGAGATGAAGGCATGTCAATGCTGGGTACCCTATTGTCACAGGGTCTGCGCAGAAGACCCTGGAGACATATTAAGTGCCTTGTGCACACAAATTATGAAATCAACCTCATCAAGGGTTTTTGGTTGATTTCATGGAAGTTGATCAGAATAAGCCCATTTGGTAGATCTTGCTGAACTCAACTGTAACACAACCACCTGGTCAGTTTCACCAAATGTGTTGCAAGAAAATCACATCGATGTGTAGCATGATGGGCATCCACATGGAAGTAAGGGGATAGTGGTACAGACAATTATCATCATTGGAAGGCAAGGGCAACATACAGGAGGAGATCGGATGTGAAGAAGGGGATCAAGCTCAGAAGCACACAGTTGGTTACCACACAGGGGGACATGCTCATGAGCACATGGAGCTAGTCGCAAGGGTGACTGCATGGACACGGAGCAAGACAATAAGGTCGGTGGTTGACTGCACAGTCAGGAGGATGCACAAGATAGAAAGAGAGAACAGTCACCAGTTAGGAAGGAGAGCTGTGTCCAGGAGACCAGCATATTGGTCATGAGGAGGAGGAGCAATGTCAAAGAGGTTGGCACAGCACAAGAGGAGGAGGAGCAAGGAGAAAAGGAGCAGTGTCGAAGGAACCGACACACTGTCCCAGGAGAAGAGGAGCAAGGACAAGGAGGTCAGTGTCAGGGGTCTCGCGCCTGAAACCCAGGTCGGTCTGTCGAGATACTCGGTGACTATCAAACTGTGTGACAGCTATTGTCTCAGTATCTGTCTCAATGAGCTAGCCATTCAGCAACTATCAAGTTGCACAGTGACAGCAGGTGGCATTCATTGTATATACTATCATAGGTTTCAGCTGACCTCTGTGGACACTCTGTTCAGGGGTAGCTCAGCACAGTCAATATTGATGCATAGGTTATGATGACACCAAGGTCTGGTGTGAGTGTTGATGATGATGAGGTTGATGGTGTTGGTGATAAGGTTGGTGGCATCAACATGAGTGTCCAGTGTGTTGACTGATGCTTGAGGTGATCCCTGGACCACAGTGGACTACTGCCTTCGGTTCTATCTATATCCGGACCGCTAACCTGCTATGGGGCACCTTCGGATGTCAGGTAGTGGTGATACAACACACACACTATGATGAGGAGCAACCTTGATAGATTGCTGCTATGCTGACTGAAAACTAATGAGTACTTATGTTTCTAAAGTATTGACTAGTTGTATGGTGAGTAGAGTGGATGAGGATCCACTCGACCTTTGATGATGAGAAAGCATGGTTATATACCTCTTCACAGCATCGCCAGCGATGCTGCTCCTGCTCTCTCTCCAGAGAGTACCTTCTTCATCGAGTACTGTTCAGGGGCCTCTCCTGCTTGCTTGGCACCCCTTTGCCTCTTGAGCTGTGTTGACTCCTTCGACACTGCTCCTCCTCCTTGCTATCCTGCTGCTTGTTTGGCACCCTTGTGCCTCCTGAGTGGTGTCGACTCCTTCGACACTTGTCTCTCGAGCCCCTGAGTGGTAACCATCTGCATGCTCCTTGAGCTTGGTCCTCTTCGTGGCTGTGCCTGCTCCTTGAGCTTGGTCCTCCTCATGGCTGTGCCTGGCCCTCCTCGCATATGGCTCGATCCTCCTTTGCATGTGAGTCCATAGGAGTCCATGGTCTCCATGGAGACTGCACTACAACCATGCTCTCTACTGGTATCGACTAGATCTTCGATACCTGTGCTCCTTCCATATGAACCAGTGACCCTCCTGCTTCTTGAGCATCCAGGCCCATGACAGTCAGGAACACTCCCCAGGAGGAGCAGGAGCGGTGTCACAGGCAACACCGTGCAAACACATAAGTAGTCTCATTTTACCATAGCATACGAGTGGATCCTCATCCACTCTACTCTATACTCTACTCATGCTTTACTTGACTCTTAGTTTTGTATCATTGCAATAGCAGGGCTTTTGCAATGACATCTCAAATGTGTGTGTTGTATCACTGTTGGACATCAGCTGTAGACGGTGTCTTCAACACTTGCAGTCCAGCATCTCACTGTAGGCGATAACTTTATTGCAGTCCAGATATTGTCAGATACCATCAAGCAACAAGCAGCATCATGAACACTTGTGCTGCAACAGGAGACTGCATCTTGTAGCCTTCCAAACCTAGTTCTATGGACAAGCCACATAGTCTCTGAATGGAGTGTTCAAGGTGGTCAGTCAAAACCTACCAGAAATAAGTCTTCTGGTTCCTTTCACCAAATTCTACCAGAAGTTGGCCTTCTGGTTCCTTTCACTGAAACAGTTCAGTTTCAGATGCGCGACTGCTTATAAAAGCATCATCCTCAATGATGAAGTACCATGAAGAGCGGGACCCAGTTGTATCCGATCCATCATTGTATCGGCTCTGACCGATCCCCAATTAGATCTGTTCTACCCGATTTTCAGTGTCTTGCTGGATCGTTACCTTCAGGAGGACCGACTGTCGGGCCTCAGGACGCTGGACGCCGGTCATTGGATAGTCAGTATAGTTTCTCCGAAGTTCCATAGTCATGCTCTGGCCTCATCATTCTAGTACTGTACCATACATGCATATGAAGAACATCGAGACATATATATACACTCGAATCATCATGTACTTAGCACGCACTCCTTATTGCAATCGACACTTGTGATCATTGACGAATGACGCACGCCCTTCAACAATTTGATACCCCCTATCAAAGCGATTGACAGGTCTGTGCTCGCTGAAGGCGTCGCAGCTGCCTAGCCGGGATTCGACTAAAGTCGAGATTTCGATATCAGATACGATCTCGGCCCGCTTTGTTGATCTCCACACAGAGACATCGCGAGATTTAGCCAGTGTCGACACTACCTTCTTCCCTGAACCATCTCACTTCACCTCGCTCCTTCCTCTGCCCGCATATATACGACCGCTACGGCTACCAGTATGGCTACCTGCACTCTATAAAGGCTCATTGCAGCTTTCAGTGCCCTGTCTTGCTTCCGAAGCCGACCTCCCATCATTCAAGACGATCACTTTCGTCTCCGAGCGCAGTCACTTTGACATACACGCGAGCCCACCCAGCTCATGACTCCTAACGACGACGAAGAGAGTCGCTCTCGCCATTGAAGCTGCTCCATTTCTGCAATTTGTGTGTACTCAATACTGGCTGGCGCTCACGATCTCACATACGGCCGGACTCTGACCGACCACCGTGCATGGACCGTTGAACGACGCTGTCGACCGCCTCGCGAAGGCTACATCATCCGACGTCGACAGAACGCAGCAAAGGCAATACCTGAAGAACGCTCGCTCATCACCCCATTGCAAAGGGCAGCCAGTTCGATCGCTGCCATGTTCCAAGCACCGGTGAGCTGGGCTGCGAGCAAGTTGCTTGCCTTTGTGTTCCCTCACGACACAAAGGCTCGGCCGCGTTCTACGCTGGATGCATCAGATCCTCTCGAAACTCTAGGCTCGACAGAGTGGCGTCGTCGAGATGAAGCGAGACGGTCGTTGCGGGGAACAACCCTTCAGCAGATGCCATTCGAGGCCTGTTACTGGCCGCTCATGCACCGACCCCGCAACAGCAAGGAAGCACAGCAACTCTACGATCACATTCGCACAGTGGCGTGGTACCTCGACTCGGTACCTTTGCTGGGCTCTCGACTTTCTTTCAACGTTGGCGTAGAGTCCCTCATTGGCCTGATCCCCGGCGTGGGAGACTACGTCGGACTCATTCTAGGACTGTATCAGATCTTGCTCTGCACGCTCTTCGGCCTTCCGTTGACCGTCCTTCTCTGGATGATTTTCAACGTCGTTGTCGACTGCATCATTGGCATCGTACCCATTATTGGCGATGCGCTTGATGTTCTCTTCAAGGCAAACTTGCGCAACCTGCGATTACTCGAAGATCACCTGCATCGGACGAAAGGCAAATGTGGTGCAGGCGTTTTCTACATCGAGTTCCCTCCAAGCGACAGATTCCTACCAGTACGACAGAGCACTCGCACGTCGCAAGATCCGCCGCCCTATGCATCAATCAGGCATCCTGAGTTCAACATCCCCACAGACAGCCCAAGAAGAAGCAATGACACAAGACCGTACTTTCTGAGCCTTCCGTCTTCTGTATCGGCGTCTACTAACATAGGCACGGCAGCCTCTCCAGTCCCTGAACGACGTCCGAATGGACACAGTGCAAATGTGCCTGTTCCAACAGCCAAAGCCGGGACATCGCCAGTTGCGTCAGAGAATGGCACACGAGACGCTGCACAGCGGACAGCAAAGTTGCAACTGACGATCGAAGCCGAGGCATACACCATTCCAGAAGAGTCAAGCACACCGGGGCAGGGCGGCAAAACGAGTGCTGCATGGCTCCATAATGGTACTTCGCAAGCGTCCACATCGGATGCTCTTCATGACCCTCCTCCCAGTGTCGTCGAGGCGCTGTCTTCAGATGACTTCCTCGCTCAAGACGATCAGCTGCACACCCAACTAACAACAGACTCAGCTTACACAAGCTCGATGGACAGCTCCAACAAGCATCTGCAAACGATCCATCACGGGCCTTCGCATTCTCTATCGCTCGACGAAGAGCGACCACGCGTCTCTTGGCACGAACTAGCACGGACAAAGTCGTCGACAATAGCAGGGCCAGAAGCAAAGCGTCCAAGTCATGAACTTTTCGACGCGGATGACGATGCAGAGGACGCATTGGAAGACCAGCGACTGCTCAAACGTAGGCCATCGGATAGGGAGCACGAGATTGAGGATCCACGCGAGCTCTGGCGAAGACGTCGCGGAATGTATCTGCTGGTGTACTCGGCAATCTTTTGCGTTGCCTATGTGACCTCGCTCGACTCGAACACGGGCTACCTCTACCTCAACTTTGCATGCAGCGAATACGGAGCGCTAGCTTCCTTCAGTACGGTCGCGATCGTGCAGCAGATGGTGTTCGCCATCGCCAAACCGCCTATTGCCAAGTTATCTGATGTGGTCGGGCGACCTCAGGCATACGTGCTTTCTTTGGTCTTTTATGTTTGCGGCTACATCGTGGTGGCCTCGACGGCTTCTTTACGATCGCTGATCGGCGGCATCTGTCTTCAGTCTGCAGGCACAACGGGCATTCAAGTACTTCAGTCGATCATCATTGCCGACACTACAACAGCCAAGTGGCGCGGACTCGTCATCGGCATAGTCAATCTGCCATTTCTGATCAATTTTGCGGTGGCTGGGCCGATGGTGGATCTGGTGATGCGCCATGGTGGCTGGCGGTTCGGTTTTGCAATCTGGACAGTAATCGTGCCGCTAGCAGCCACACCGCTGCTACTCACACTGTTGGTGGGTCAACGTCGAGCGCATCGGGCTGGACTGGCGACGAGGAGCACACTTACGGACAAGCCTTGGAGGCAAGCTTTGCGGCAGCTGGTGACAGAGCTCGACGTGCTTGGGCTCTTGCTATTCACAGGCGGATGGCTGCTGATCCTTCTGCCACTGACGCTTGCCGGACACGGCGAACGACAGGCTCAGATCCCGATGACGACCTTCATCCTTGGCGGTGTGGCGATGCTGTTGGTGTTTGGATGGTGGGAGACGCGAGCATCAGTGCCGATCTTGCCGTACCAATTCTTGACCAACAGCGCTGTGGTCTGCACATGTGTGGTGGGCGTGCTGGATTTCGCGTCGTTCTACATCTCATGGACATTTCTGTCGAGCTTCGTTCAGATCCTCAAAGGGTGGGATCAGACCAAAACGGGTTATTTTGCTACGACGCAAAACGTGACGTCGACGATCACAGGTATCATCGTCGGGTCACTGATGGCCATGACGCGTAGGTACAAGATGCTGCTGATGGTCGGATTGCTAGTACGAGTGCTGGGTGTAACGCTGATGGTGAGGTACAGAACAGCGGATGACCCAACGTACATGCTGGTGTTGTGCCAGCTATTGCAGGGTATCGGTGGTGGTTCGATCGCCATCACGATGCAAGTTGCGGTACAGGTGACAGTCAGACACGCGGATGTCGCGATTGTCACAGCACTGGAGCTGCTGACAACCGAGATCGGTGCAGCGATCGGCTCTGCAACTGCGGGATGGATGTTTCAGACCTATCTGCCGACCAAGCTCCGGGAGAACTTGCCCAACATGAACGCCGACGAGCTCAAGGCGGTGTACGGCAGCTTGCAAAAGGCACTCAGCTATCCGATTGGGTCTGACGAACGAACTGCCATCATCAAGGCTTGGGTAGACGTGATGCGAATGCTGAGCATTGTTGCCACAACCGTGCTGGTACCAGCAGTTCTATTTGGAATGGCAATCCCTGACACGTCGTTGCCCGACGTGCACGGTGGAGTTAGTCATCATCACAGTCATCATCATCACCAGCACCACCATCATAACCATGGATCTCGCAGAGGAGAGCGAAGAAGCTCGAGACGACAGCCTTCCTTTTTGTCAGCAAGCAGGCCGTCATCTCCGCTTGAGGTGCGGGCAGGCTATCCGGACATCACACCGGGGATGGGACTGGGCGTGGCTAAGGAAGAGGCTGCAGCTGCAGGACTGCTTGCTGCAACGACGAATGGATCCAAACGAAGTCGATCTGCGTCAAGGAATCGAGCTAGCGAGCGAGAGAGCAGAGATGATCCGAGTCTGCAACAGAAGAAGCGAAGATCACGCCGAGCAGTGCTCCATTGATCTTGACATGCTCGAGCCTCATCTTTACCAAATTCAAAGGATGCTCGTGTGAGCAATTCTTTGTCTCGAACAGTGAGGTGTTGTTCAGGCACATGCCAATCAGCACAGTCACGGCTGCGACGGTTTCGCGAAAGGGTCCCAGCCGTGACTGAGCGCGGATGCATTATTATTAGAGATCAGCCTCTGTCTGCGGGTGAGATAGAGTTGTAGATTACGTCGGAATTGCAAAGGTTTACCCGAGATGCCGAGAGAGCTAAGCTCGTGAATAAGCGACATGCACGTGAAATGCATCAAGGTTGACATGGCAACGACTCAGGAGCTCTGCAGGAGAGGCACTCAACCCACCTAAAGGGCAGCTCAGCATTTTCAAAGATGGTGTCAAAGGTATCTATACACATGTTTATAGTCTCATTTCCTTTGAATATGACAAGAATTATAGTTGCTCCCAACGTAGTGGGAATTTCATCTTCAACTTGTTCGAAAAAAAAAAGCACGCGACTTGAGCTGTGCTGTGCTGCCGCGTTGAGACGGAAACAGGCAAAATGTGGTTGGCCTTACGGGCGAATACAAAAGAGGACCCCATTTCTTGTTTCAAGTTGAATTGGACACTTAACATTGAACTTCAAAATGGTCGTCGATTTGTATTCAAGGCGAGCTGGAGGAAAAGAAATACCCGCAGGAGACCGCAGGAGACCACAGAGTAGGGGGTTTCAGTTTTCTCTGAGTTTTCAAAACTCCGAGTTTTCATGGTTTTTTTGGATTTTGAAAGCTCACTGCTTAAGTAAGCTCTGCCAGGAAAGAAAAGCTCAGAAGTTTTGAAAACCTCTACTTATTTTTGCCATGAGCCCGGGTTTCTGAATATTTGAGTTTTCAACAGGAGTTTTTGTCATGTGCTGATATCATGTGATTCTAACACAATTCTGCACACAACCCTTGACCTCCACTTTCTGCACTGTCTACACTTTCTCACACTTTGAGTTACGTCTGTCCTTGCTTCACTTCTATCACCATCTCCAGTAGCATTTCCTCCCTGTCAGTGCCAGGACATGGACATGCCATCCCCTCACAACCATATCAACAACATTACACTATTCACAGCTTTGCAGCAAGCCTCTGGATTGGCTCCAGCATCAGAGCAGTCTTCAACTGCTTCGCAGCACAACACAATAATGTCAGCTCAGTCCAACCTTGATTGCTCTCATCAGTGCCACCCTTCTGCAACTTCCAGCACCTTGGCTGGGGCTGAGTAGACTCAGCCAGCAACCTCTCCCACTTCCCCTTTTGTCCTCCTCCACTCCTTCTGGTTCCAATGCCACCACATCTGCTGGTTCTTTGCCTCACCAAACCTCTACCCACCCAACTCGAATCTCTGCAGCTTGCAGACATCAAGCCAGTACTTGTGGCAGCAGGTTCAACAAAACAGATCATATTGCCTACTTCAATTGGTCACCTAGCAACATAAATAACCTCATTGATATCATCTACAATAATGATCATTACCAACATGTTCTATTGCCAGGATGTTTGACTGCGGAACAGGAAAAGGGTCTGAAGACAAACAAAGATGTTATCTGCAGGCAGATATGGCAGGAGCTGTTCCCAGATGAGTCTACTGTTGGTGGTGCTGGTCAAGTAAAGACTAAGATTTGCTGGCTCACTGAACAATACAACAACATCAAGAAGACCATCTCACAGCAGACCGGTGCTGGAGTACTTCTTCAAGACATGGATCACAACAGCTCGGTGTAAGCGATCGCGCGCCAGAGACTAGCTGAGGTTGATTGAGTAAGGTCTACTTGATATGATTCGCCTAAACATAACCAAGCATCATTGCCTAGTAAGTCTCGACTGACTGCCTTGAACACTCTGTTCAGAGGTTGCACAGCATGGATGTTGTTTGTTGGTGAGTGAGTGATACACCCTCCCCTACAGTATGAGTGTTTGTAGTACTGTTGATAATGCTCTTGGATGTCGACTGGACTGCGATATGCTAATCACCTACAGAGGACAGGAGTTACTGGACTGCTGGTGTGAAACACTGCCTGCAATAACTGACTGGACTGCTGGTGTCAAGCAACACTGCCTACAGCAAGGGACTGGACTGCTGGTGTTGAAGAACACTGCCTACAGTAATGAACTGGACCACTAGTGTGAAGAACACCACCTACAGTTGTCGACTAATGGTGATACAACACACATGTTGAGAGTCGTTGCAAGAGCACTGCTATTGTGATGATACATAACTGAGTAAGTATAGAGTAAGTAAGTTGAGTTCAGAGTGGATGCCAATCCACTCATATGCTATGTAGAATGAGAGTATTTATATGTCTGGTTGGTGTTTTTTTCCCTCGACACCTATCCTGCTCCTCTTGAGGGGCCTTTGTCCCCTGTTAGGCATTGCCTTGCCCTGCTGGCACCAACCCCTTTGATACTGTGCTCCTACCATTTGCTTGGCATAAGGGTTATGCAACACTGCCCTCTTGCCTACATGCTCTCCTTCTGTCTGACGTGTGATGCCCCCTTTTGGCACAGCTCCCTCTCGACTTAATCATGTGAATTCCCTTTGAACCTCATGACCATACCCCCTGGTCATGTGGTCATGTTGGCACAGTTCCATCTCAACTTGTTCAGATCAGCTGACTAGTTGAAGCATGCTGATCCAACTGACTCCAATGTTGGCACAGCTCCAAATACTTGTTCAGATTGGCCAACTAGTTGAAGTGTGCTGATCCGACTGACTCTGATGTTGGCACAGCTCTGAGTACTTGTTCAGATTGGCTGACTAGTTGAAGCATGCTGATCTGGCTGACTCTGACCAATCCCATGAGATCAATCTGGATTCCTGGGGTTCAATCGATCTTGTAATTCATGTGCACTGCCAACCCGATTAATCTTGTTGATCCCTGATGGTTTTTGGCTCTGATCAATCTGGCGCACCCTTCATATGTTGATCTTCTGCGCACCCTTCATATACTGCTCTGTTATGCAACATTATCATAGCTGCCGCTGATCATTTGGCGCACTCTCTTGCGCAGGCCAGCCGTCCCTGTGACACTCGGTAAGTACAACTTAGTTGATTCATGTTAAGTGTGCCAACATTCTTATACTTTATATCTCTGTCTATGCTTCTTTATCAACTTGCAGGACTATGCCACATGTGAATCGATTGCTCGAAGCTGCCCTTGGTTTGAGCACTGGCACAAGATGATGACCAACTGTGCACAGACTGGTCCAGTTGTTCTTCTCACTGGTCACCCATATGATGCCACCCCTGCCTCCTCTCAGAATAACTCAGTTGATGCCAATGTGAATATGGATGATGCCAATGATGCTCACTACCCTCAGCAATGCAACATTCCTGGCATGGAATCCATTCTTGAGGAGTTGCAAAATGATCCCATTGGAGCAAGAGTTATCTCATCTTTTTCTTCTTTGGTTGCAGCCACCCCAGCTGCTGCTTCATCTTCATCCCACTTGCCCTTCTCTTCCTCATCCAACCTGTCTTCGTTTGGCCCCACCCCCTTCACCATTACCCCTATAGACACTCCAACCTGCCAGTGCTCATCCAGCACTGCTTTTGAGGCTGATGAAGTGGACAATGGTGATGGTGACTCTGTTTACCATTCTCCAGCCACAGGTACAACACCCAAGAAGTCTTGACCCTTCACTTCCAAGAGCAAGCAAGAAGAGCTGTTGGAAATTGTGTGGGCCTACACCCAAGACATGCTTCAGGCATGAATCAAGGTTGAGGAGGAACACACAAAGAGGGAGGAAATGCACATTCAATTTGCCAGGGAAGAAAGTGAGGGACAAGAGTGCATGCAAACTGAAGAGCATGGTTGGCTCATGGAGATGGTGCAGATGATGAACCCTAATATACCCTTTGGCAACATTGCTGAAAGTAGTCAAAGCAATCTTGATCTTGACCCACTGGTTCTTGCCATGGATCAGCAGGACAACAGTGATTCAGCTCATGAGTAGACCATTTGGCAAGAATGGTGTTCCTTTTGAGTTCTCCAAGTTCTGTTCCTGTGTTTCTGACTTGTTGTACCATTGCTCTCTGTAAAGCTAGCTCTCAATATGTATGACTAGCATACCCCATACCCAGTCTTCTGTGTAATCTCTCAAATGTAGATTGCTTCAATGTGATGAATTGTTCCACATACAAGATGCTGATCAGTGTAGCCCCAGTTCTGAGCATGCATGTTGTGCAGAAATCAGCTGTGTTGTGTTTGTAGCTTTGGACTCTCTTTTGGACCACATCATCCTCTCCTATTTCTGGCCCTCTACTTCAACCATGGTGTGCACTTCCGACAAACAGCACCTCCTGGATGACATTGAGACCACCATCATGCACTCATTGATGGTGGAATCCAAGATGCAACTTGATCTGATGGATGTCAATGCCACTTGGCACCCTAATGATGACCTTGAAGATTCTGATGATGACATGTTTGATCATGCTGTCTCATTTGCACTCATCAGGACTTACAACATCATCAGCCAGTCTCGATACACAGTTGAATGCCTTCAACTGCTGCAATGAAAGGATCCCCTCATCAACATGCTTGATCGATATGCTGTCATCAACCGCAAGCTCTTTGGAGGGGCTGTTCACATGACCCCAGATGCATTCCAAGCTCTCACTTACAGACTCAGCACAACCAATGCCTTCAGATCAATATCAAGCTTTTGGCATGTTCAGCAGCAAGTGGCAGTTGGTCTATATCGGCTTGGATGGTCAGGAAATGGTGGTGGAGTTTGTGATGTTGCATTTGCCTGTGGTTGCAGTTGGGGCTCAGTTCATGTGTGGACAGATAGGACTATTGCAGGCCTATATGAGCTGAACAGCGAGGTAGTAACCTTTGCAACTGAAGACAAGCATGCTAAGGCAAAAGCATGGGTTGCTGATAAGAGTGGAGTTGAGGAATGGTCTAGAGGATGGTTGGTGGTAGATGGTACACACATCAATCTTGCTTGGAAGCCAGTACTCAATGCTCACAAGCATTACTCATACAAGGGTGATTATACATTCAACATTGCCCTTGTCTTCCTCCCTCATTCCTTGTGCATTGTTGAGTCAGTGGTTGGACATCCTGGGTCATCACATGATGCACAAGTCTGGGCTTCAGGCAGTGGTATTGTTGTGAAGCCTCGTTTGCATCTCTGCACATACAGTCCAGGCTTGTATCATTGCACATATGTTTGCAAGCTGTTATGATTGACCAGATGAGGTGGCAGAATACCTTAAGGCATCAGAAACTCTATCTGAAGCTGAGGTGCTGGAGACCATGTCAGGGTTGGAAGCATATCAGCAGGCTACCAAAGATGCAAGGATACAATGAAGGGAAACCCAGCAGCAATACAAACAGGAACAGGCTGCTGTCATCGAGGGCATGTCTCAGAACTGAGTCCAGAAGTTCAGGCAGGAGAAAGCACTGGATCTTAGGGAGGAGATGCTCACTGCACTCTTTGCTTCTCATGGCTGCCCTTTTGAGGACACAACAGCAGAATCTCAAAGGATGGGAATGACAACATTGGCCTTTGCTGAATGGCAGGAGAGACAAAACTGATGGCATGAGGCTCACAGAAGACAGCGATCAGAACAGGTGTGATGTAAGCTATTTGCTTTAGCTTTTCAATCAAAGGTTTTGGCATTGTTCAGTATAGTGTTCAACAACATCTGATATGATCACTTTGATCTTGACCTGGTGTAGGGAATCAGAGATTGTTTTTACTGGGCGAGTCAAGTGAAACTCCAAGATGCATGTGTCACAGGCCTGTGCAGTTTCTTGGGGTGTCAAAAATTGGGCCCAAACATATTTTCAAAGTATTGTGTTTTCAAAACTCAGAGATAACTGAAACCCCCTAGTGTGTGCTTCTTTCTCAACGCAGAGAGAGAAGAGAGGCAGACACTCGAAGAAGGACACAGGACCACACAAAAGAAAGAGACACACACACACACACGCAAACACACACAAAAAGTAAAGGCGGTGTCCAATCATGCCGTTGTGCGAAGGAAAGAAACCGCAAGCTTGGCCCGTTGCAAGACTTGATATTCATCCTTCGAGCTCGACTTGCTCTCCAATCTATCCTCTTCTCATCCTCAACCTTGAGCCTGTCCCCACAACATTTCATCGCCACTTGATTGGGCCGATTGGATTGGTAAGTAGCTTGGCCTGATCAGCGTTCTGTCTCCAGACGTGGCCCCTCGTTGCTCGTTCCTAGGCTCACCTCTAAGACTGCCATCTTGTCTTGCTTTCCTTACCTCCAGCTTTCGTTTCAGGCTACTCGTCTCATCGATTGTCACCTTTCAAGGAACACTTTGCTTCGCAGCTCCACGCAAGTGCAAAGCCACATCTAAGGTCTTCGTTCGGGTCTCGTTCGCCCAGGTCTATCGTCTTTGCCACCGTCCTTTGCCCACCTCTGCCCAACATGGTCTCCGCCGCCGATTTCATGAGGCAGCACCAGGCTCAGCTTGCTAACGCCGCTGCCGAGCAACCTCCCATGGCTGATCCTTTCCCGGCCCTCACTCAGGATCCCTTCCCTGCCGCTGAGCCTGCTGCTCCCTCTGCTTCCGCATCCAGTACTACTACTGCTGCTGCTGCTCTTGGTGCTGCCAACGGTTCCTCCTCCACTCCTGACGCTCCTTCTGCTGGCGCTGCCACCAAGGGTCGTACTCAAGCCTCGGCTCGTGCCAAGTCGCCCGACTTATCCGAATCGGCTTTCCCTTCGCTCGGTGCCGCCGTCAACCCCGCCAAGGGTCACTGGGCCAACAAGGGTTCCACCTGGAACGGCTCTGCCCCAGTTATTCAGCGTTCCGTTGCTCAGCAGACCCTCTCGCTTTCGCTTTCGCACGACTCCATCAATAAGCTCTCCTCGATCATGTCCAAGGTTCAGAATAAGTACCGCGGTCTCAAGGTTGAAGCCTCCACCACTCGCAAGACTGGCACCACCACCTTTGTGCTTAAGGCTGCCGACGAGGCCCTCGTAAAGAACGCCAAGCGTGAGATCACCGTCCTTCTTGCCAAGCACGTCTCGACTCAGATCATGATTCCGGCCTCGCTCCGTGCCTTTGTCATCGGTACCAAGGGCAAGAACCTCAAAGCCATCACCGAACAGACCAGCGTCAAGATCAACGTTCCTCACCGTGACCCTGCAGCTGACCAGGCCATCGACACCGATGCAAACCAGCGCAACACCATCGACTACGAAAATGACGAGCAGATCCCAATCACGCTCGAGGGCGACGAGATCAACGTCAAGCAGGCTCAAGCCATGATCCAGTCGATCGTTGCCGAAAGGACTTCCAAGATCACCCAGCGTCTCACCCACATTGACCACATCTTCTATCCCTTCATTGCTGGCCCCAAGGGTGCCAACGCTGCCAAGCTCGAGAAGGAGGCTGGCGAGGGCGAGATCTCGGTCCGAGTGCCCCCTCGTGCCGCCTTCTTGCACAGCAAAGACGGTGACGACGAATCGGCCGAGCCCAAGCGTGAGCGTGATCTCGCCATTGTCGTCTCTGGAGACCGTGAAAAGGTGAACAAGGCCGTCACTTCCATTGAGGCTCAGGTCGAAGAGATGAAGAACTCCTTCCGCACCCTCGCTATCAGCATCCCCAAGCGTCAGCACCGCTTCTTGGTCGGTGACGCTGCCAACGACATCCTCGCTTCCACCTCCTGCAGCGTCGAGCCGGCCGCTATCGACGACCCTTCCGACAGCGTCACTATTCGTGGTCCTCAGACTCAGCTGCCTTTGGCACTGACTGCTGCCATGGAGAAAGCCAATGCCGTCCGTGTCGAGGTGGTCGACGTTGTCGCTGCTCACCGATCCCTCGCCAAGGACCCTGTCGGCCATGCCAAGCACGTTCTTCGATGGCTCAACGTCGGAGGCAAAATCCCCCGCAGCTCCACCGCTCAAATCTACCTCCCGCGTCCTGCCATTGTCGAGTCGACTGGCAACGTTCATATCGAGATCGTTGGCTCAGACGCTAGCGAAGTTTCCAAACTCCGAGAGACGATCCAGGAGCTCGTCAAAACAGTTCCTCCGTTCTTCGTCGAGGAAATCGATCTCGACCCTCTCCTGCACCGCTTCATCATCGGCAGGAAGGGTCAGAGCTTGAAGCCCTACGAGGCTCGCGGTGTCGACGTTCTCTTCCCTCCCGCTTCCTCGAGCGCCGACGGTGACTCTCGTTCCGACGTTCTCCTCGTCCTTGCAGGCTCTTCTGTTGTCTCTGGGCTGCCTGCAGACCGCAAGGCGCGCGAGGCCAAGGCCAAGGAGATCCTGGATGCCGTCAAGCAAGACATCCAAAAGGCTCAAGTCGCAGCTGCCGACATCCGCACCGAAACTCTCACAGTTCCCCCCAAGCTCCACCGCGCCATACTCGGTCCCAACGGCACCACACTCAACGCCGTCATCGGCGAGGATAGGCTGGTAGCTGTCAAGCTTGGCTCCAGCAAGGCTGCGTCTCCTGCCTCGACTGACAAGTCTGGCTCTTCCCTCTCCGAAGACTCAATTATGGTTCGTGGCCCCAGCTCTGAAGTCGAGCGTGTTGTCAAGGAGCTCAAGCGCATCGCCGTTGAAGCCGAGCAGGACAGCATCATCAATGGCCATGTAGTCGAATTCTCCGTCGATGCCAGCCACGTGCCGCACCTTGTTGGACGTGGCGGTTCTGCCATCACAAAGCTGCGGGAGGAGCTCGGTGTTCGCATCGACTTTGGCGAGCCTTCTAGTGCTGAACGTGGCGACGGCGCCAAGAAGGGAAAAAAGGCCACTTCCAGCACCAAGGTGGTCCTCACAGGTCGTAAGGAGAACGTCGAGGAGGCCAAGAAGCGTCTCCAGACACAGATCGAGAGGCTGGCAGACGAGACTACCGTCACCCTCAAGATTCCTCAGGAGATGCACGGCAGTTTCATCGGCCAGGGCGGCAAGTACGTCACCCGACTCCAGGACACCTACGCTGTCCGCATCAACTTCCCCAACGCCAACGCCCAGAGCGGCGTCTCGACTCCCACCGAGGGAGCCGATGACAAGCCTGCTGGTGGTCGCGCCGCACACAAGCCTGACGAGGTCATCATCAAGGGTGGCAAGAAGGGCGTTGAAGGTGCCAAGGCCGAATTGCTCGAGCTGCTGGAATACGAGAAGGAGCACAACAACGTCTCGACCCTCACAGTAAGCACCAAGTCGATCGCCCGCATCATGGGCAAGGGCGGTGCTACGATCAAGCAGATTCGTGACGAGAGCGAGGCTCAGATCGACGTCGATCGCGAGGACAACGAGCAGGACGGCACCACCTCGATCAAGATTCGCGGTACCAAGAAGGCAATCGCTGCTGCCCGCAAGGCGATCGAATCTATCGCATCTGAGGTGGACGCCGAAGAGGTCTTTACGCTCACCATCGCTCCCGAGCACCATGGTATCCTGATCGGCCCCCAAGGATCCAACATTCGCGATCTCATCATCAAGGCAGGTGGACCTGAGGATGCCAAAGCCTCGTCTCAGTACGTTCAATTCCCTCGCCGAAACGAGAAAGACTCCTCCACCGTCACTATCCGTGGCCCTGCATCGTTGGCCAAGGCGATCCGTGATGAGCTCAAGAGCGCCGCCGAGGGCCTTGCTTCGCGCGTTGTCTACGGTGTCATCGTCGCTCCCCAGGCACAAAGGATGCTGATTGGCCGCGGAGGATCTCGCCAGTCAGAGCTGCAGACACAGTACTCTGTCCGCCTCATCTTCCCAGGCTGGAAGGAATACTCTTCGACTGGCGAGCCCATCAACAAGTCCGACCTCGCTGGTGGTGACGACACCACCATTGTCAAGATCATTGGCGCCGAGGACAGGTGCAAGGCATTGGCCGAGGAGATCAAGTCGAGCTTCGCGTCCGTCACCAAGTCGATCGACGTCCCCCGCGCTGTGCACGCCCGCATCGCTACTCCTCAGTTCTTTCGCCAGCTCCGCTCGGACTTTGGCGTTTCGGTTGACACTCCTCGCGACTCGGCTTCGTCTTCGGCTTCGGCTTCGATCCCAGCCGCTTCCGCCAAGAACGGCGCCAAGGCTTCGGATGCCCGCATCGACGATGATGACGCAGCAGACGCCGAGGAGAACGAGTTTGAGCTCGAGGAGCTCTCGTCAACCTCAGGCAGCGATGTTGTCTCTTGGACCTTGACCGGAAAAGATGAAGCTTCCCTGCAAAAGGCTGAGAAGCGCATCCAGGCCTCGATCAAGGACGCTGGCAACACTTCGCACCAAGGCAAGCTGTGGATCACACCCTCTGCCGTCCCCCGAGTGATTGGCCGCGGTGGTAGTGGCCTCATGAACATCCAAAAGGAGTCAGGCGCCACCATCGAAATTCCTCGTGACGCTGGCGGACTTTGCATCATCCGTGGTTCCAAGGACGCTGTTCTCCTGGCCAAGGAGCTTATCGAGAACGTCGCTTCTTCAAGCGGACGTGCTTGACAATGATCCCTGCTCCGACACACTTGTCAAATAGACCCCAAAAGCATATTATCTTATCGCAATCATTCTTCTCTCGTTCCTGCAATTAGAATTGGTAGCGTCGCTGAATTCCATTGTCTTGGCCTGTCGTTCGTTGACTCATAGTGATGCGCATCCGAGCGCTTGGTCGATCCGCAAACTGGTGAGCGGCTGCCAAAACTCAGTTTGCCTGACAATGACTGAGACTTAGTCGATTAGATAATCGAGTGAATGGCTAAAATACAGCGATGTATGAAGGGTTCAGGATCGATAGCGAGAACGTGAGGATGTGGATCTATCGTCGTACCAATCAGGGTCAAGCCCAAGCGCACGCAAAAGTTTAGGGCTAGGGCGGTAGCCGTGGTCCGACATATCTGCAAGGACGCCTTCCCATCGATGGTCTTTCTCACTGAAGCATTTGCGAACGAGAGCCTCATAGCTCTTGCGGCTCGGCTTGATACCCTTCTCTTTGGCTTCTTCAACAAACCCGAAGGCATTGTCGTAGTTACGCTGCGTTAGGCACAAGACGATCATTCGCTCAAATGTCACCAGATCGGGCCGGATGCGCAGCTCGTTGAGATCTTTGAGCAGCTTGACTCCGGTCTCGTAGTCGGCGGCATCGATGCAACCATTGAGAAGCGTGTTGAAAGTGTCAAGGTTCGGCTTGATCGCCAAGGCCTGGCGGGGCGGTCTGCCGCCGTCCTTGTCTGTGAAAGTATAGTAGGAAGGCATAGCGCGATAGATTTCCAGGGCTTGCGCCAAATCACCAAGCCACACAGCTGCGCTGAGTACAGCGTTGACGACCGCAGTGTGAGTCCCGACAGCGGAATTGGTGGCAGTGCTAGCAAGTGCATCAAGAGCAGCTTGTAGCCAGGTCTTGTCGCGATAGATGGAGGTACTGATTCTCGAAGTGATGCGATCGGTGATGCGGAACCCGCGATGGTGGTACGTATGAAGCGTGCGCATGGCCCCGCTGTAGTCTTTCGCACTGCATTGCGCTTCGAAAAGGGGCGCCAAATGCCATTCTTGGATTTCGATGCGTTTGGAAGCAGGCGATGGCCTTCTCAATGGTTGCGCAGAGTCTTCGTGATTGCTTTCGGTTTTTGAGTTGAAATCTTGCGCCTCATAGGTGGGGTCGATATGGCGAAGAGATATACGAGCCATCTGCACACTTCCTTCTTTGGCAGCGAGGGATAGGATCTGGAGGACAAGACCGTCGTCAGGCGACAGGAGTCCTTGCTTCACCGCGCGAAACCAGGCAAGTTCGACACCTGGCAGATATCCGCCTTCGGCGCAGGATCGCAAGATCGACATCCACAGGCTTGGCGGAAGTCGGCGAGCAACTTGACCGCTTCTTGCTTCGGAGCGAAGGAGATCCTGGGCGTCTAGCCCGGACGTGCTCCCCTCTCCTCGTGAGGCTTCGGAGTACACCAAGCCTCCTTGCTCGATGAGATCGGCGAGCTCGACTGCGGCTCTGAACTCCTCGGTATGGAGGCAGAGGCCAATCAGATGCTTGAGCGACTCGTGAGGTAGTTGAAAACCGAGGCGGTAGCAAGAGGACAGGAGCAAGAGTGCGTACTCTAGGTTGTAATCTTGAAACGCGTTGTGAGTCATATGTGCAAATGTCGATACATTCCAGTTACGCGTCTTTTGTAACGATAGCGTCAGTCCACGGCTGGACCTCGACGACAGTGAGCTTTCGTCGCCTTTGAGAAGGAGATTCGCGAGCTCTACCGCCGAGCTGTTTGAGGTTGACGAGGAAGGAGATTGCAGAGCAAAGATGCGCTCAAGGATGGCACTAGTTGCATCCTGGTCGCCGGAGACGACGGCGGCCTGAAGCAGGAGATTGAGCGACTCGATACAATCCTCGAAACCGACTGAGAGCATGTCCGCGTGAACTGCTTGAGTCTCTTCCAGAAAACCGTGAAAAGCAAGAGCACGCATCACTGCGAAAAAGACGATCTTCTCTTTTGACTCGAAGGTGCCAGCAGAGGATATCTTCTCCTTCCTTTCCTTGATAAGCTGACAAAGCTTGGTAGCTTGAACAGGATCATGGCTGTCCGCTGCTTTTCCCAGCGACGTGTAGAGCTGCTTGAGTTCGGGGTCGGTGGAGATGTTGCGCAAGATGTAGGTGTCGCTCGACACCTGCTCCTTGGGTGTCTTGGATTGTGGTAGGCTCACGCCAACACCGCGCCTCCTGAAATGCTGGAACAGTTGTGGTGCATGTGGATGACGACGTTCAGCAGCCTTTGAATGGGGATAGATGGAGTTCCGCGATGGACCGTTGGACTGGTCTGATAGTCCAGGTTCATTTCCTTTGTCTGCGTAAAGTTTTTTACTGGATGCTGCGGATTGTGTTGCTAAGCTGCGGTGAGGCGATGTAGTGAAATCTGCATGGCAGATTGCTTCGAGACCTTGCCTCCAACTTGGAATTTGATGGAACACGAGCAAACCGCTCCGAGAGAGCAAGGGCCGGAGCGCTCTGGAACCTCTCTGCTGCAGCATTCTGATCAAAGCTCCGTAGCTTTCTGGATTAAAGAGGCTATAGAGGAGAGTCGGCGTTAGAAGCTGTAAGTTCTGTGTCAAGAGTTGTGTCGAGAAGAATCACCTCCAAAGTGGCTTGAGAACAAAAATGTCAAACCCTTCTCGCAGCCTGACTCCCGAGTCCCGGAACAGGTGCGCATCACGTGATTTTCAGAAAAAGGCGTGCGCGTCTGGACTGGACTCAGCCATCGCTTTGTTCTGCTCCCCGCTCCGCTCTTCACAACATCTATTTGCTCTCCGCCTCTCTCTTCACTACCATCATCTTCTCCAACACCAGGCATACGATAAGCAGCCTGTTTTGTCATTTTCGCCCGCCCTGCACACCCTCCCTTGCCGCTCGTTTCTGTACTCGACCGGCCCCTCTTAGGGCGGGATGGGAGCCTCCTGTCGAGCTTCGAGAACCTCACGGGTCTTTGCCTGCAATCCACCTAGTTTAGCGTGTTCTTATAGTCGATTTTCAGTTTCATTCGTGCGATTGAGTCCAGACGGGATTTTCTCTTTTTGAGTCTAACAGCTGGGTAAAATTTGGCAGGTGCCGTTGATCTCGTCTCACTTTTTGACAGCTGGCTCTGTATGCGAAAGGGCGAGCTTGCTGCAGCCCACGGCAACGTTGGCAAGATAAGGATCGTCGAGGCTTTTGTTCAGAAGGCATGTATGGGCACCACAAAGAGCAAGGTGGATGCCTACAAAAATGCAATGGTAAGCTGAGACAGTCTAGCCCAAGGATTAGGCTGCGAAACATGCCCTTCTGAGTGCACACTCGGACAAGCGGAAGCAATGGAAGCCGGCGGCGGCATCGTCAGCTTGAGGCGCAGCCGTCGAATTGCTATGGTCTGGACACAAGTCGCAGACAACGTAGGCCTCTGTATTTGAACTATGGCTGTTTAACCAAGCAACGCCAGCCAATAGACACCCTTCGTGGCCTTGAACACTTGAGTCACGAAGAGAGGAAAGGGTCAAACGCCAGACCTTCGGCAACCAAGGCATATCATCATTCTCATTCTCATCGACGGCAGAATGGTCTTCAGATGAATCTCACTCATCACTACAGTAGTGGCCACTTCCTGAGGTACATGGATGTTTTTTCGTGGTACAAATCTGTGGCTTGATTGACAGTGCAGGTAAGGAGACTGGTGAACTAGCACAAGTTCGCTGTGCATATCCAACAAGTCGACCTGAGCTGGCTGCAATTGTGGTCCAAGAGAGAGGAAAGAGGGAGGAAGAGAGGACCGAACACAATCCAAAGTTTGAACCACGTTGAGCTGATCGGAGTCCTGATGGGAAGAAGCGAATCGTGGAACGGAGCTTGAACTTTTCTCGATGGAAGCGACCAAGATCAACGTCATAGTTCAGGGCGAAACCCACAAAAAGATCCATACACATACAGTCAAAGATATCGAACGCCGCGATGGCTTTAGAGATTCAGCGATCTCGCACCTGCCGGCCTTTGCTCGAGTAGAATCCTCGCTGTGTTTGCTTCCATCGGATCTTTGACAATACTCAGAAGTGCGAATTGTGGATGCAGAGAGGAAGATTGAAACGCCGCATCTTAGACCCGCAGATCCGACTCGCAAGGGAAGACATCCAGCAGGTTGAGGTTGATATCACCCTGCAGAAGTCAAACGCCGATGCAGAGGGTGGAATGTGGACCATTCTGTTCCTAGTTCTCAGAACCGTTTACTTGTCGGTGACTGCCAATCGAAAGGCGAAGGTGGCTTCGACGACGTCGGAGACTTGGATCCTTTATTCAATCGAACGAGTCGGAGAATCTCGCAAAGAGCGGTACAAGCCTCTCGCTTGGCTGACCTACTTACTGCCCTTGCTCACATGATCAAGAGTGGAAAGGTGTCCCATACTTTCGCGGAGTTGGAGGGAAGCAAACCGTTCTTGACGACTGTCTGAATGCGCCAAGCAACAGGCCATCGAACCGATGCCGGAGAGAAGAAGCTCGGCAAAAGCCTCGTGGCATGTTGGATTGCGAGCAAGCGAGAAGATGCGGCCTTCGCTTGTCCCACTGTTGGCTTTACGCTTAGTGCCCCTGACTCGCTTTCTGTGCTGGTGCGATTTGCCCACTTCCAGGCGCCGAAGCTCCAACGTTTCGGACCAACTTGCCAGACGCATGCCGCCATCATCATCATCTCACAGCTTGACCATCCTCCTCTCCTACTCTTCTCGTGATGCCCAAGATTTCGTCACACCGGGCATCTGCCTGTTGTCTCTCCCACCCTTCCACACACATCCGCATATCACCTCGCCTCTGCACCCCAACTTTGACTTGCCCCTGACTTGCTCTGCCTTGTTCTGCCTCGTCACGCCTCGCCGACGTCTCCGCTCCATTGTCCCGTCGCATCGCGGATGTATCTCCTCGCTCGCCTATTCCTCGCAATCATGCAGCCATGAAACTGTACCGCAAATGTAAGCTTGGTCGGCCTGTTTTGGACCAGACGCAGCACCAAACCTACACTGTTCTTTCATTTCGTTGACGTGGCCAGCGGCTAAAGAACCATCTGGAAGTCGACTTCTGGTGCTTCTGTCTGCCCGACGCATGGATTTCCATGTCGAAAAGTCAAGCTCTTTTCCGTCAAGGTGCCCTCTGTCTCCATCTCGTCTCTTGTTTTACCCGCCAACCTCATCTTGCATCCGTTAATGCATTCGACGATTCCGATGTGGACGCCTTGCTCCACTTGTTTTCCGTCCTCTACATCGACCATCTGGTGCTGTCCTGCCTGTCCCTATCTGCCGCGATCACGGCGAATTGTTCGCATGTTCCACCAGGCACCTTTCCGTCCTTCTCCCGCTGATCCCTTTCCGTCTCGGCAATTGCGGCGTCTGCTTCGACGATTCGTGCAGTGCTTTAGCATCGCAGTCCTACACAGCCTGTCTGCCGGCGGAGTGATTGTCAGTTGATTTGATGCTGCCCTCAGTCTCTGAATACGTATAATGGCCCGCGTGTCGGACCGGTCTCTGAGCCCACTCTCCCCCTTGCCCATCGACTTGCTCTCCGTGATCCCTACTCCCTTGTCTCTTATCCCCAGTGTTGCCCTGGCTGGCATCATCTCTTGAGCCAGCGTCACCCCCGACATCCTTTCTCCACCATCACTGTCTCCCACCATACGCAAAACTACCCACCATGCGATCGAGTGCCACTGCCGGCCTCACCCCTCAACAGCTGTTGGACCGTCGCCGTGCTCAGAACAAACTGGCACAAAGGCGATTCAGGGAAAAAGCTCGAATGTCTCGATCATCTGCTTCGAGCTCTGCGGTATCATATCTCTCAGCAACCTCAGCACTGCCCAGCTTCCCACCCCATCTCGACTTGGCAGCGACAGCTCCGCCTCGAGTAGGTCAAGTCAGGATCCGTTCGGCATCGTCCGACTCGGCTTCATCTTCCTTTCCCCTCTCCCTGTCGTCACAAGTCTCCAGTCCCACCTCATCATGCACCGAACTCAACACGCCAACCATGCCCACTTTCAATCACCTTGCCATGCCATCGTCCAGCTTGCCATCCCTGAACGGCGGCTCGCTTGATGTTCAGCCTGTCTTGGTAGCGCACGAGCCTAAGCCCGACATAGCCTCGACTGAGTGCTCGTTCTACATGCCACCACCTCCTACCTACTTTGATCCTTCGAACTTTGCTTCCTTTGACCCAGTCCACCCTCAGCCTGTACCGATTGTACCTTCGGCAGCGCCACTCACCTACTCGAGTCTGGCTTCTTCGTCACCGACACTTCATCGCAACATCGGCTTGAAGATGCTCGGAATGCACTCCGATGCGTTCCTCATGAGCCAGCCTCTACCGAGCCTCTCCTTGCTTTCTAACGCAATGCTCTTTTCGCCTCACGGTACACCTCAGCACGTGCCCCACGAGAGCTCTTGTATACCTGTCAGCTCGTTCGAAAATCTGTTGCGCATCCCTTCGCGACCCTCTTCCGGCTTTGCCAGTGGCACCGAGGAGCCAAGCCTCTCGCCGCCTTCTTCCAGCTCCTCGACATTTTCGTCAACATCTCAGCCCTACGAACCAGTGACCTCTACAGCTGTAGCAAGCCAGTCGGCAGAATTGTGCCTAGAGAGAGCCATCTCTATGTATAATGCAGGTGGCTCTTCGGCTACGTCAACGCGATCTGTCGCTATCGCGTCGCAGTCATTTGCACGCGTCATCGAGCTCCTCGGCGGGCATTTTGGCCTGGACCGCAACGGTCAGAGCTTGCCTTCGCTCCTTGCTCGTCTGCAGCTCGATGGAAAGCTCTCTGAGAATGCCGAAACCAACAAAGGTCTCGTCTTCGATGCGTGCATCGACTGGGACAAGATGGCCTTGAACATGTTCCCCGTCCCCGAGCAGCTCTTGTACCCTCACCGAGCCTTCATCGACGCCTGCCTCCCGTGGCCTGCTGTGCGCTCTCGCCTGCTCAAACAGTCCTTGATCTCGCCAGTATGTGAGCAAGAGTTCGCTTTGGATCTCTTGCTCTCCATTCTTTCTTCGGATGAGTCCCTTTCAACTTTCCATGTCTACGGCGACGACGTGTTTGATCCGGAGGCGTGGAAAGTGAGCGAAGGCATGCTAACAAAGTGGTGGGGATTGTTCGACGATTCGATTGTTCGTAGGACCAACTGGTGGCGACGTCAGCGAGGACTTCCCGACCTGGTCATCCCTACTCCACTAGACTCGTCGAACGACTCGGTGCGACAAGGACTGGGAACCGGTTCGCTTGACCAAGTTCACCGCCTCGCTGCGACACTTTATGCATAGACAATACCTTCCACTACCCTTCACTTGATAGACAATGGTTCTGTTTTCTTTCGCTAGTCACCTGCATGCTTTCGTCTAATCGTTTTCGCCTTATGTATTCTATATGTATCATACTCGATGCCACGCTTTTCAAAAGCATCAATGTTCAATCAGTCAGAACATGGACCAAATGTGAAAAGTGTTGCGATGCATTCCATGGATGAAGTCACAATCATATCCAGATATGCTAATCCCTAGGTTTTGTATCTGAGAAGAAGTGGTTGTTCATGGCAGCACAATGTATTTTTGCAAGTGCTCGGGAATGGCCTTGTCAAGACCCTTGGATTCGAGCCACTTTCGGGAGAACAGCCTTGCTTGGTACCTGTAAGCACCATCACAAAGAATCGTGACAATGGTTTTGTTGGGGCCGAGCTGCTCAGCCATCTTCTTAGCAGCGACCACGTTGAGGGCAGAAGAGGCACCAACGTAGATGCCTTCCGAGTGCAAAAGGTCGTACACCATCTCGATACTCTCCTCGTCAGGAATGTGAACGGAGCCGTCGAGCTTCTCGATGTCGGGCTTGAGGTTGTCGGTTACTCGACCCTGGCCGATACCTTCAGTGATGGAGCCACCTTGGCGGTCCATGAGCTTTCCCTTGGTCTGGATGTACGAGTGGAGCACCGAGCCGGGAGGGTCCGCAAGCCAGCATTGCACCTTTCCGTTGCTCTTCTCCTTGAGGTAGCTTGTGATGCCGGCAAGAGTCCCTCCAGTACCAGTAGCGCAGATGAAGCCATCGACCTTGCCATCGGTCTGATCCCAGATCTCGGGACCGGTGGTCTCGATATGGGCTCGTCGGTTGGCAGTGTTGTCAAACTGATTGGTCCAGACGGCATTGTCAAGTCGGTCAGCATGTCGTTTTGCCTGATGGTTGTAATTTTCTGGGTTGTCGAAGGCGACGGCAGGAACTGGGTAGACTTCGGCGCCGAGCATGCGCAAGAGGTCGATCTTCTCTTGGGACTGGGTGTTGGGCATGTAGATGACACACTTGTAGCCCTTGGAGCGGCAGACGTGAGCCAAGCCGATACCAGTATTACCAGCAGTACCCTCGACAACAGTACCTCGAGGCTTGATGAGACCACGCTCCTCGGCATCCTTAACAACAAAGAGGGCGGCGCGGTCCTTGACGCTTCCTCCTGGTTCCATGAACTCAGCCTTGCCGAGCACCTCGCAGCCGGTGGCATCGCTGATCTTGTTAAGGCGGATGAGCGGTGTGTTGCCAACAGCACCGACGAAACCGTTGACGGGACGCATGTGAGCAGCTGCGACGGGAGAGAGGCTAGAGGTGGAGGCAGCGGCAGTAGCGGAGCTGTGCAAGGCTCGCACCGACGAGCGGGCGATGCCCATCAAGGATCTTGGAAGTGACGCAGCCATGACAAGTGTTCTTGCTCGATGTGAGAGTCGATGAGTGATGTCCACACACTAAGGGTATAGCGAGATGATGGCGATGAGAAAAGAGAAAAGGTTGTCGACTGCAAGACTTGTCAAGTTCTTCTCAACCTTAAGCCCGGCAATCGCGCGGAGAGTTTGCTTTCAGATTATCTTTCTCGACATTTTCCGACACAGAAGGATTCGGTGACAGCTCTGTATCACACCCGGGAGCATTGAAAAGACGAGGCACTGTGACATGGCACTTGCGATCTACACAAGTCCAGCCCAGAAACTCACCTGAGTCATGTATGCAAGAGCTTCACCACGGCAACGCAAGAAGGTTGAGCTGCTTTCTCTGCCAGGCCGATTCTTGACTTTGATGCGCTCGCTGTCTTCCAATCTGCCATATTTTGAAATGCCGCCATAATCTCAGCTTGGCGCGTGCGCTTTGACTGTGCCAGAGATCAACCAGCGATTCCATTTCACCTCAACATCCTGCTGTCTTCTCGGGTCCTCACTTGATTCAAAGACATCCTGTATGTGTCCAAAGCACGTACATGACACACGAAGTCACAACGTAACGCAAACCGTGAATCGGGCTGCAAGACAGTGATGGAGCGAGTATCAATCATATTTATTTCTAAGGACGTGTCTTGGTGTGGCTTTGAAGCGCTTGCACTTGACGAGCAATGGAGAAGCAACCATGCACTTACTGGTCGCGGACCCAGAGGTCAACGAACTCGTTAGCGGGGAGCTTGGTGAGCTTCTCGTGGTCCTCGAGGAGAGCGACGATCTCAGACTGACGAGCCTCGGGGAAGAAGCCCTTGAGGTGCTTCTGCAGCTTGGACTTGATCAAAGGCTTGGCCTCGTCACGACGACGGGCGTGGCCGACGGGGTAGTCGAGGGCAACCGAGTCACTGGTACCGTCGTTGAAGGTGACGTTGACGGTGTTACCGATGGATCGAAGCTCAGGGTCAAGGTAGTCGGTGGTGTAGCGGGGCTCCTCCTCAACCGTCATCTTGGCACGGAGCTCGTCGATCTTGGGGTTCTTGGCCACCTCGTCCGAGTAGTCCTCGGGGTCGAGCTTGCCGTTGATGAGACCCATGGCAGTGATGTACTGGAGCGAGTGGTCACGATCGGCGTAGTTGTTGAGCTTGCCGGACTTGGAGATGATACGAACAGCAGCCTCCTGGGTTTTGATTCTGACGCTCTTGATGTCGTCCGAGGTCTTGCCGTTCTTCTGCATCCTGCCGTGGAGGGTGATAGCGCCCTCAATGGCGGTCTGCGAGTGGAACTCGGCGGGGACCAGCTTGAAGAGGACGTTCTCCATGACGTACGAGCCGTAAGGGCGCTGGAACTTGAACTCCTTGCCCTTGAAGAGGACGTCGTAGAAGCCCCAGGTCTTGGCGGTGAGGACCGAGTTGTAACCCTGCTCGCCCTTCTGGACGAGGAGAGCGAGGTTGACGGCACGCGAGCAAGCGTCACCGGCAGCCCACGACTTACGCGAACCAGCGTTGGGAGCGTGACGGTAGGTACGGAGCGACTGGCCGTCAACGAAAGCCTGCGAGACTACGTCAACGGTCTGGTCACGGGTGTTGCCGATCAACTTGGAGACGACGGCAGCTGAGGCGACCTTGACAAGGACGACGTGGTCGAGACCGACACGGTTAAACGAGTTCTCGAGGGCGAGGCATCCCTGGATCTCGTGAGCCTGGATGGCAGCAGTGAGAACGTCCTGGACAGTCAAAGGCTTCTTGCCGTTAGCGATGTTGGTACGGCTGATCCAGTCGGCAACGGAGAGGATAGAGCCAATGTTGTCGGAAGGGTGACCCCACTCGGCGGCGAGCCAGGTGTCGTTGAAGTCGAGCCATCGGATCAAAGCACCGTTGTTGAAAGCGGCACGGATGGGATCAAGCTCGTAATTGGTACCAATGACGCGGGCACCGTTGGGGACAACAGTGCCGGGGACAACGGGACCGCAGACTTTAGCAGCGGAAGGGAAGCGGAGAGCCTCCATGGCGCATCCCAACGAGTCAAGCAAGCAGAGACGAGCAGTTTCGTAAGCGACCTTGGAGTCGATCTTGTAGTTGTGGACGTAGTCGGCAATGTCCTGGAGGACCTGGTCGGGAGGAGGACGGGCGTTGTCCTCACCCTTTCCAACACCGGCGTGACCACTCATGATGCGAGCAGAAGTGGCGAAAGGGGCGGCGCTTCGGGGAAGGTTGGAAAGAAGGGACTTGTTGGAGAGCTGTCCGACGGATCGAGCAGCAACAGCGGTAGCTCGGGGCAGAGCAGAGGTGGAGATGGATCGAGTGGAGGTGGATCGAAGCGATGCAGCCAAAGTAGATTGAGAAAGGAGACGAGGCATCTGTGCAAGGAAACGGAGGAAGGAAGGAAGACCATACGACGTCAGTTTGATTGCTCCGCTGCTTGTCACGGTCGTTCGAGACTGGTTCCCGCGCAGACTACTTTTGCTGCGAGGACAGGTGTTCTGCAAAGGCTGCGACATGCTTCATGAGAGAAGAAAGGAACAAGGCGAAGCAAGGCGCGGAATCGAGTTCTAGGATGTATGCGTGGAGAATACTTACGATCTGTCTGTCGGTGATGACACTCGACGATAAGATTAGGTTTTGAAGATTGGAGAGGTGGGGGGAGGAAGGGAGTGAAGAAGGAAGATGTGGGGAAAAGGAAGGAAGTGATAGAGCTTGAGTTGGTGTTGGACTTTCAAGTACTGTAGTTTGTCGACGATCAACGAGCGAGGTTGTTGTAGTTGCTGTTGATTGACGTGCGGGAGCCGCTTTGACCGACACAGCGCTTTAGCCCTTTCGACAGCTGGAAGAACAAGCCGGACGCGGGGCAAGAAACAGGGCCAAACGCAGAGCGCAAGGGCCAACAGTCACAGAGTGCTAGCAGCTCTCACAAATTGACCGGGAGCGATCGGTCAAGGCGAGACACAGCAAGGTAGAATTGTAGGAAGAATTCGGGTCGGCTTTTGGGGACTTACCGGTAATCGCTTGAAAAGGCGGCCGTTATTTACTTATTGAAAGAGAGCCAAAAAGGGTTGTGCGACCACAATGTGAATGCGGAGCCGCAGCTCTCTCCCTATACAGACACGCAACAGACACGCAACACATACACACAACAGCTCACGGACGCAAATGTCGACTGGGAATCGTCAGATCTGTCGTTCGCAATCAGAGAACAAAATCGTGCGTGAGTGAGGCTGAAGTGTGTTGGAGGGTAAAGGCATGGTTGCAGTCATAGTCTTGGGTTTAGCAAGCAACTGTTGGAAAATAGAACTCTGATCGACCCTTATCGGGAGGTGGTAGTCACAGTACAGCGTCCAAGCTTATCGAGCTAAACACTATACTATATTGACATGAGGAAAGAACACTGTTGTAGCTCGAGCTCTCTGCTTACTATCTATATACATTTTGGTTTGTGGCTGTCTGTGAGAATGTCCCACCTAATAACTGTCTGTGACAATGGATGTGTCGCTGTTGCCCTCGATCTTCATCATGTGGGCCCGCCCAATCTCCAATCTGATTAGCCCTCCCCGATCAGTCACCAGATCGTGTTCTGCTGGATCGTTTTCTCCAGCAGCAACAGGGTCCTTTCTTCCACACCTTTTCTCCCTTAGGGGGTATCAAAGTTTTTGCGATTTTAAAAACACGGGTTTTTTCGAGAGTGCATTTTTGGAGGGAATTTGAACCCCCCCCAAGGAAAAGCAGGTTTCCAAAAACACAATGAAATCATATGGCCGATAAAATACATAACCTAACAGTGGTCATGTTACTTGTCACTCTTGTCGCTATTACCCTTTGCTTGCTTATATCTTGCTTTCCTCTTCACACAATGCACTCAATGTAATGTTTCATATGGTGGTGAGAAGAATTGTATTGAACAGAAGAAGAGAGAGTGCCTGTCAGATCGAGAATGGTTGTGTCAAGACTTGCTCCTGTCTCCGAGCTGATGTGCTTTGAGTCATGGCAATGTAGTCCACAGTAGTCCTCTCATGATGTCGAGACAATGCAGTAGTGTCTTCCTCATTGCACCCAGTGGATCTGAACAGTGCCTGGAACAAACCCTCTCGAAGATCATGTGCAGCAGAACTTCAAAGTCTTGACACTGCATACTGTGACATTCCTTGTGTTGCAGTGGCAAGATCCAGTTCATATTCCTGCTGATTTGTGCATCTTGTCCTCCTGAGCTCTTGTGTATCACTGGCATCAAGTTGGAGGCTTTGAACAACCTCACTCACCTCATCCTCAGAGAAAGAGGGCAACAGCAGGTCAGCAATATCAGCAGGATGGTCATATTGACTTGCAAAGGTGTGGGCAACAATGCAGGCTTGGATTGTCTCAGCAGCAGTGATGTGGTCCTTGAAATGGTAGATGTTACCACAATAGCCTGTAAGGCACTGGAAGCGGTTCTTCAGGTATGCAATGGCATGTTCGACTTGTACTCAGACTCAAGAGAGCATGTAGTTGAAGTGTTGAAGGTCTCAACTCTTGTTGGCAGCAATGTGAGAGAATGGTCCAACTGTGAAGGCAGAATGGCCATATCCACCATCAACCCAGATGAACTCACCTTCGTCAAGGTACAGGCAAGGCTTCTTCAGGATGTTGCTGCCTGAGGCCCAAACCTTCGAATCCTGAACACTGCCAGGCTGTCCAACAACTGATTTGACAATCCACAGTGAGTGTGGCAGGATCACCAGCACTACATTGATGCTGTGGAAGCCATTGTAGCAGAAGTGTGTCACAGGGACGGCTGGCCTGCGCAAGAGAGTGCACCAAATGATCAGTGGCAGTTATGATAATGTCATGTAACGGAGCAGTATATGAAGGGTGCGCAGAAGATCAACATATGAAGGGTGCGCCAGATTGATCAGAGTCGACAACCATCAGGGATCAATGAGATTAATCGGGTTGGCAGCACACATGATTTACGAGATCGATCGAACCCCAGGAATCCAGATCAATCTCATGGGATCAGTTGGAGTCAGCTGGACCAGTATGCTTCAATGAGTTGGCCGATCTGAACAAGTACTTGGAGCTATGCTGACGACGGAGGCAGTCAGATCAGCATGCCTCAACTAATTGGCCGATCCGAACAAGTATTTGGAGCTGTGCCGATGTCGGAGTCAGTTGAATCAGCACACTTCAACTAGTCGGCCAATCTGAACAAGTCGAGATGGAACTGAGCTGACATGACCACATGACCAGGGGATATGGTCACGAGGTTCAAAAGGGGATTCACAAGATTAAGTCAAAAGGGGGCCATGCCGAAAGGGGGCATCACACATCAGACAGAAGGAGAGCATGAAGGCGAGAGGGCAGTGTTGCATAACCCTTACGCTGAGCAAAACAGTAGGAGCGCAGTATCGAAGGGGATGGTGCCAGCAGGGCAAGGCAGTGCCTAACAGGGGACAAAGGCCCCTCAAGAGGAGCAGGATAGGTGTCGAGGGAAAACACCAATCGAACGTATAAATACTCTCTTTCTACCATAGCATTCGAGTGGACTGGCATCCACTCTGAAAACTCAACTACTTACTATATACTTACTAGGTTATGTATCTTCACAATAGCAGTGCTCTTGCAATGACTCTCAACGTGTGTGTTGTATCACTGTTAGTTGACAACTGTAGGTGGTGTTCTTCACACTAGCAGTCCAGTTCATTACTGTAGGTGGTGTTCTTCACACTAGCAGTCCAGTTCATTACTGTAGGTGGTGTTCTTCAACACCAGCAGTCCAGTTCCTTGCTGTAGGTGGTGTTGCTCGACACCAGCAGTCCAGTCAGTTATTGTAGGTGGTGTTTCACACCAGTGGTCCAGTAACTCACATCCTCTGTAGGCAATTGGCATATCGCAGTCCAGACGACGTCCAAGAGCATTATCAACAGTACTATGAACACTCGTACTGTAGGGGAGGGTGTATCATGCACTCACCAACAAACAACGTCTGTGCTGCACAACCTCTGAATGGAGTGTTCAAGGCGGTCAGTTGAGACTACTAGGCGACAATGCTTGGTTACATTTAGGCGAATCATATCGAGTAGTCCTTACTCAATCAACCCCAGCTAGTCTCTGGTGCACGACCGCTTACAAAGTGCTCTCGACTGAGCACTCCTGGCTTCCAGGCAAGAGGGATGTGTGTGCCATCCACCACAAGCCAGCCCTTACCCCACTCTTCAACCCCAGTTGTATTGCACACCCAGGCAGAAGCATGTTGTCTCTCTCCCTCTGAAGCAAACTGCATGACCTTGTTGTTTAGCTCGAGGAGGCCAGCAACTGTGCAATTGGTGTATCCAACAATGCTCCCAACACTGCAACCACATTGCAAAGCAGCATCACATTCACCACCTCCATTTCCAGAATGGCTGAGTCTGTACAGAGCCACTGAAAGAATCTCTTGCACTTTGTTGAGAGACATCACACCTGAGCTGCTGTAGTTCCACCAGAAAGCCTCTGTTTGCTGGAGTCGGATGGTGAGATTGTTGCATGCTTCAGGCGACATATGAACAGGTCCATGATACATCCTATGATTGCTTGATTCATACCTGTTGAGAAGGTGGATAAGCTTATCAGCATGGCCAAGAGGAGTGCAATGTGTGATTGTGTACCTTTGCTTGCATATGAAAGTGTACAAGCAGACAAGGTGTCATGAGAGTGGAATTGGGTCACCATCATTGTCCAAGTTGTCAATGTCAGTGATGCAGGAGTGCTGCACTCTGTTGGTGTTTTGGATGACCTCCACAGGTATAGAGAGCTTGAGAGTGTGGACAATGTCATTGAGAATTACTTGCTTGTCACTGTAGCACACCATGGCTGGAAGGAGGAAGGGAGTTGGAGAGGGAGCATGGAGAGGGGGGATGGAGAGGGGGGATGGCAGCAAGAGCGATGCCGAAAGGTTGCAGAGTGGAGTGTGTCAGGGGTCTCGCGCCTGAAACCCAGGTCGGTCTGTTGAGATACTTGGTGACTATCAAACTGTGCGACAGCTATTGTCTCAGTATCAGTGACTATCAAGTTGTGCAGTGACAGCAGGTGGCATTCGTTGTATATACTATTGTAGGTTTCAGCTGACCTCTGTGGACACTCCGTTCAGGGGTAGCTTGGCATGATCAATATCAATGCATAGGTTATGATGACACCAAGGTCTGGTGTGAGTGGTGATGATGATGAAGTTGATGGTGTTGGTGATAAGGTTGGTGTCAGGGGTCTCGCGCCTGAAACCCAGGTCGGTCTGTCGAGATACTCGGTGACTATCAAACTGTGCGACAGCTATTGTCTCGGTATCAGTGACTATCAAGTTGTGCAGTGACAGCAGGTGGCGTTCGTTGTATATACTATCGTAGGTTTCGGCTGA